GATAGCCATAGGGAGAAGCTTGGATAGCCACAAGTAGAAGCTTGGATAGCCATAGGGAGAAGCTTGGATAGCCACAAGTAGAAGCTTGGATAGCCATAGGGAGAAGCTTGGATAGCCACAAGTAGAAGCTTGGATAGCCATAGGGAGAAGCTTGGATAGCCACAAGTAGAAGCTTGGATAGCCATAGGGAGAAGCTTGGATAGCCACAAGTAGAAGCTTGGATAGCCATAGGGAGAAGCTTGGATAGCCACAAGTAGAAGCTTGGATAGCCATAGGGAGAAGCTTGGATAGCCACAAGTAGAAGCTTGGATAGCCATAGGGAGAAGCTTGGATAGCCACAAGTAGAAGCTTGGATAGCCATAGGGAGAAGCTTGGATAGCCACAAGTAGAAGCTTGGATAGCCATAGGGAGAAGCTTGGATAGCCACAAGTAGAAGCTTGGATAGCCATAGGGAGAAGCTTGGATAGCCACAAGTAGAAGCTTGGATAGCCATAGGGAGAAGCTTGGATAGCCACAAGTAGAAGCTTGGATAGCCATAGGGAGAAGCTTGGATAGCCACAAGTAGAAGCTTGGATAGCCATAGGGAGAAGCTTGGATAGCCACAAGTAGAAGCTTGGATAGCCATAGGGAGAAGCTTGGATAGCCACAAGTAGAAGCTTGGATAGCCATAGGGAGAAGCTTGGATAGCCACAAGTAGAAGCTTGGATAGCCATAGGGAGAAGCTTGGATAGCCACAAGTAGAAGCTTGGATAGCCATAGGGAGAAGCTTGGATAGCCACAAGTAGAAGCTTGGATAGCCATAGGGAGAAGCTTGGATAGCCACAAGTAGAAGCTTGGATAGCCATAGGGAGAAGCTTGGATAGCCACAAGTAGAAGCTTGGATAGCCATAGGGAGAAGCTTGGATAGCCACAAGTAGAAGCTTGGATAGCCATAGGGAGAAGCTTGGATAGCCACAAGTAGAAGCTTGGATAGCCATAGGGAGAAGCTTGGATAGCCACAAGTAGAAGCTTGGATAGCCATAGGGAGAAGCTTGGATAGCCACAAGTAGAAGCTTGGATAGCCATAGGGAGAAGCTTGGATAGCCACAAGTAGAAGCTTGGATAGCCATAGGGAGAAGCTTGGATAGCCACAAGTAGAAGCTTGGATAGCCATAGGGAGAAGCTTGGATAGCCACAAGTAGAAGCTTGGATAGCCATAGGGAGAAGCTTGGATAGCCACAAGTAGAAGCTTGGATAGCCATAGGGAGAAGCTTGGATAGCCACAAGTAGAAGCTTGGATAGCCATAGGGAGAAGCTTGGATAGCCACAAGTAGAAGCTTGGATAGCCATAGGGAGAAGCTTGGATAGCCACAAGTAGAAGCTTGGATAGCCATAGGGAGAAGCTTGGATAGCCACAAGTAGAAGCTTGGATAGCCATAGGGAGAAGCTTGGATAGCCACAAGTAGAAGCTTGGATAGCCATAGGGAGAAGCTTGGATAGCCACAAGTAGAAGCTTGGATAGCCATAGGGAGAAGCTTGGATAGCCACAAGTAGAAGCTTGGATAGCCATAGGGAGAAGCTTGGATAGCCACAAGTAGAAGCTTGGATAGCCATAGGGAGAAGCTTGGATAGCCACAAGTAGAAGCTTGGATAGCCATAGGGAGAAGCTTGGATAGCCACAAGTAGAAGCTTGGATAGCCATAGGGAGAAGCTTGGATAGCCACAAGTAGAAGCTTGGATAGCCATAGGGAGAAGCTTGGATAGCCACAAGTAGAAGCTTGGATAGCCATAGGGAGAAGCTTGGATAGCCACAAGTAGAAGCTTGGATAGCCATAGGGAGAAGCTTGGATAGCCACAAGTAGAAGCTTGGATAGCCATAGGGAGAAGCTTGGATAGCCACAAGTAGAAGCTTGGATAGCCATAGGGAGAAGCTTGGATAGCCACAAGTAGAAGCTTGGATAGCCATAGGGAGAAGCTTGGATAGCCACAAGTAGAAGCTTGGATAGCCATAGGGAGAAGCTTGGATAGCCACAAGTAGAAGCTTGGATAGCCATAGGGAGAAGCTTGGATAGCCACAAGTAGAAGCTTGGATAGCCATAGGGAGAAGCTTGGATAGCCACAAGTAGAAGCTTGGATAGCCATAGGGAGAAGCTTGGATAGCCACAAGTAGAAGCTTGGATAGCCATAGGGAGAAGCTTGGATAGCCACAAGTAGAAGCTTGGATAGCCATAGGGAGAAGCTTGGATAGCCACAAGTAGAAGCTTGGATAGCCATAGGGAGAAGCTTGGATAGCCACAAGTAGAAGCTTGGATAGCCATAGGGAGAAGCTTGGATAGCCACAAGTAGAAGCTTGGATAGCCATAGGGAGAAGCTTGGATAGCCACAAGTAGAAGCTTGGATAGCCATAGGGAGAAGCTTGGATAGCCACAAGTAGAAGCTTGGATAGCCATAGGGAGAAGCTTGGATAGCCACAAGTAGAAGCTTGGATAGCCATAGGGAGAAGCTTGGATAGCCACAAGTAGAAGCTTGGATAGCCATAGGGAGAAGCTTGGATAGCCACAAGTAGAAGCTTGGATAGCCATAGGGAGAAGCTTGGATAGCCACAAGTAGAAGCTTGGATAGCCATAGGGAGAAGCTTGGATAGCCACAAGTAGAAGCTTGGATAGCCATAGGGAGAAGCTTGGATAGCCACAAGTAGAAGCTTGGATAGCCATAGGGAGAAGCTTGGATAGCCACAAGTAGAAGCTTGGATAGCCATAGGGAGAAGCTTGGATAGCCACAAGTAGAAGCTTGGATAGCCATAGGGAGAAGCTTGGATAGCCACAAGTAGAAGCTTGGATAGCCATAGGGAGAAGCTTGGATAGCCACAAGTAGAAGCTTGGATAGCCATAGGGAGAAGCTTGGATAGCCACAAGTAGAAGCTTGGATAGCCATAGGGAGAAGCTTGGATAGCCACAAGTAGAAGCTTGGATAGCCATAGGGAGAAGCTTGGATAGCCACAGGGAGAAGCTTGGATAGCTTCTACCTGTGGCTTTACTAAACCTCTACCCACCCTGGATGGCTTGGCCCTGTCCCGTAACAAACAGGTCCAGGCATTCCTGGTCATTGTTGGGTACAATTCATTCGCCAACTTCTCCACCATTGCTGGACCGCTGACTGGCTTTCACCATGGAGTCCATCATGGCTCAGCAGAACAACAAAGCTGGGAAAGCTTTTCTGGAGCTCGGGCCAGTATCCATTGCTGGGGGGGATCCAGAATTTTTTGAGAGGAGCGCCCAGTATAGTTTTTCTCAGTAGGAAATAAACAGCCGCTGAGAGAAACTACGCCGGCGCGAATGTCTGGCCAGAAAGTGGGCTCCGGATTCTCTGGGTAGGAAACATGAAGAAGAAAGACTTTGGTTGCCCACATGCGACACTTATGGGGCCGCCATTATTTGCTTCCTTCTACAAGTGCCGCCCTCCTGGCTTCTCTACACTCTGAGTCACAGACCTGGAGCATCCGTGCTCTCAATGCGCGTCGGAAACCTCTCATCTCCGTACTCGTTCCAGGTCGGTGACGCAAAGTGGTGAAGACACAAAGGACCATCATGGCCAGAACCAGCTAGTGTCTTCAGAAGGCATGGACATCATTGACGGCCTCCGGGATCCTCTGGAAGATCTCCAAATTATAGATTCCCTTTAATAAATAACGTCAGACTGAAGGAACTTGTTTTATTTCCAAGTGATCAATACATCCTGACATGACCCAACCAGACGTGGGAGGACTGGAGAACCTTTGGCCTGAGACAACCAAGAGGGCCTTTCATGGTGGATCTCTGAGGGCTACAGAAAAGTGTACCGTGGTGCCATAGAGATCGGTGGGCATGATGGACGGTTGGGGAAGGACGATGGCTTTCATGACACACCTTCATCTTTTCCACCGTCGGCACCGTACAGAAGAGGACTTCTAGGTAGAGATAGTTCTATATGTGTGACCTGAGATATGATGGGACCTGACCTACCTGGTGGTATGTTCTGATCACGTATGTTATAGGGTGTTCTATCTGGTGTGCTCTGTGTTGCCCCCAAGTGTAGGTTGGAGGCGCTGGATCCAAATACATAGTATAGGGTAACAACTAGAACATTGACAGGGGAAGATCTGAAACATGAAAGGACATCTCAGAAGACATTTAAGAAGTTAGGAGAAGTCACCTCAATGGCTTTGGAGTCCAAAAGTATTTATTTCATCACAAAACTTCAAGATAAACCAACACGTTTCGGGGGCTATAAAGGTCCTCCCTTCATCAGGGCCCAAACTGCTATATGGGATGGGCTATGGACTCTGGAGGGTCAGTGAATTCAGAGTCCAGGTTTTCACTGTTCAGGAAACGTCAGAAACAATATTTCCTACTGTTGTATGGAAAAGATTTTGATATATTGCAATTGGTTTCTTGACAGAGTTGGCCCATGAAGCATCAGACATCTTCAGGATGTTCGGAAACCCACCCAACCGGATTCAAATTGGGCCTTATGCAGCTTGGAGTCAATGGTTGGAATCCCCCTGGTGTGAAGGAAGAGAAGAATTCCAACTAAAGCCTTTCCCGCACATGGCTTGTGTGAGTGGCTTGGCTTTCCCGCACATGGCTTGTGTGAGTCCGCAGATGGGCGAGAAGGTTGAACGTGCACACGGAGCGACACTCACATTCTATACACACGTATGGTTTTTCTCCGGTGTGATGTGGCGGGAGGGGCCCTGCTTGCCGGAGAAGCAGGTCCCACATTCGGGGCAGGCAACAGACCACTCCCATGTGTGCTTCCTCATGTGATTGTCAAACACCGGCTACTGCTACATTTCAGGCACGTTAGGTTTTCACCCGTGTGAAGTCGGACATGGGCCACCAGGTTCAACTTGCTGATGAAGATTTTTTCCGCACCCCGAGAAAGAAAAGGGGTGCTTACCTGTGGATATCAAGTTTGGTTTTCAGCGGGAAGCACTTTCCACACTTGGAGCAGGAGAATACGTTCCGGGTGGAATGGAGAAGCTAAGAGTCGTCCCCAGGGGTCTCCTCATACTTTACGCAGGACAGTGGCTCCTCCTCGACATGGAGGGCGTAGTGTTGGACCAACAGGGCCCGTGACTGAAAAGCCAACCCGCACCTGGCGCACAGCAACGGCTCCTCCTGGAAGTGCGTCTTCTGATGCTGCTTCAACTTTGACTTGAGTACAAACCGCTTCTCGCAGACCGAGCAGGAGAACGGCTTCTCCCCCATGTGACGTTTCAAGTGCACGTCCAGCTGGGACTTCCATATGAAACATTTCCCGCATTCGGGGCACGAATGTGGCTTGTCGTCCGTGTGAATTTTCTGATGCTTCCTCAGCTGGGACTGAAATATGTAGCTCCGCCCACACTCGGAGCAGGAATAGACCTCCTTGCTGGTGTGAGACCTCTGATGGAGCTCAAGCTGGGATCTGTACATGAAAATCTTCCCGCACTCGGGGCAGGAATGGAGCTGCAGGCCCAGGTGGGATCTGTGATGCTTGGTGAGCTGGTGCTTGGTGGCGAAACTTTTCCCGCACTCGGAGCAGGAGTGCGGCTTGTCGCCCGTGTGCTTCCTCCGGTGTTTGACCACGTCGGCCTTCCGCGAGAAAGAAAGGCCGCAGTCGGAGCACTGGAAAGGCTTCTCTCCCGTGTGGCTTCTCTGGTGTACGACCAGCTGCGAGTTCTTCATGAACCTCATGCCGCATTCTGCGCACTGGTACGGTTTCTCGCCCGTGTGGTACCTCTGGTGCACCTCGAGCAGCGACTTCTGAGAGAACTTCTTCCCGCACTCCGAGCAGGCGTGGAGGTACTCGTCCGTGTGGTACCTCTGGTGCGCCGCAAGCTGGGACTTCTGAGAGAACTGCTTCCCGCACTCCGAGCAGGCGTGGAGGTTCTCGCCCGTGTGGTACCTCTGATGCGCCGTCAGCTTCGACTTATCTCTAAAACCTTTCCCGCACTCGGGGCAGGAAAACGGGCGCTCGCCGGTGTGAGTCCTCCAGTGTCTGGTGAGGTGGGTCTTCTGGCTGAAGCTTTTCCCGCACTCGGAGCATGGAAAAGGTCTCTCCGCTGAGTGGACGCTCCGGTGCCTGTAAAGAGCGGCTTTCGATTTATAAGATTTGCCGCATTCGTCACACCGATGGGTTTCATCTGCTTCACCGGCGGCGGCGCTGCTGCGAGTGGCGCGTCGGGGTCTCTTTGAATTAGCCCGATGGCGTTTGTTATCCGCACCTCTAAATCTTGGATGGGCAATGTGGCGTTCATCCGGAGAGTCTTGACCGAGGTCATCGTCTTCCATTTTCAGACATGAAGGAGACATTGGGGGGGAAAAAGAAGAATTTCCGTTACGGCTGAAGCCTAATGTCCACATACAACACCTCCCCCTGATCCCCCCTCATGGCATATAGAAGAACACATCCCTTTAGACTGGACAGTCATGGTGGAAGAGAAAAGGGTCTTCACCCAACTGGTCACACCATGTCTGTATGGAGCTGGCTTTGTACATGGGACAGTCATGGTGGAACAGAAAAGGGTCTTCACCCAACTGGTCACACCATGTCTTTATGGAGCTGGTTTTGTACATGGGACAGTCATGGTGGAACAGAAAAGGGTCTTCACCCAACTGGTCACACCATGTCTTTATGGAGCTGGTTTTGTACATGGGACATTCATGGTGGAACAGAAAAGGGTCTTCACCGTTAAATGTACCTTTCACTGGAAACACCTGATCCCAATCACTGTGAAGGGCGTCCACGTACTTTGGCCACAATATATATATTCTTCTTCTTGATGTTTCCCGTTACCTGGTAGTCGTCGCCAGACAACATCTTTAAAACATGAAGTCGTTTTGACTCCATGTTCTAAAGATGTTGACTAAATAGGACTACCAGGTAACTGGAAACATCAACAAGAAGCTGGCGTGAAGGGTTTGAGGCTCAGTGAATGAGTTGTCCCGCGCCATGCCCAAGAGGTTCCCCGTAACTGAGCAATCAAACAATGAACGTGCGGGAAAGGTTGTATCTGGTTCCTCTTGCTCACCTTGGTCAATATCTTCAGGAAATTCTTCCTCTTTCACTATCACCAGCATTCCAAGCTCAGCTGTAGCGTGCTGATCGCCGTCCACATCTTCTTCCTCTTTACACTCAACTTTGTTGTATTGATCCGTCATCACTCCATACTCCTCGTCGTCCATTATAAACTCTTGTTTAACGGCAACATTACAATCGCTGAGGCTCTCGTTCTAAATATGAAATAAAAACATTTATCATCAGACATGGAATTGTATATCAATCATACCGATCGGTGATTGTTCATCATCTACCTGATCATGGTGGGGGATGGTGAGATCTTCCTGGGTGGGATCCCGGGAATACAGGGGGCGGGGACATCTCTCATGGTGGGGGAGGGTGAGATCTTCCTGGGTGGGATCCCGGGAATACAGGGGGCGGGGACATCTCTCATGGTGGGGGAGGGTGAGATCTTCCTGGGTGGGATCCTGGGAATACAGAGGGCGGGGACATCTCTCTGGTGGGTTCCTCTTACTGGATCCATCTGTAGGAAACACACACACTGACTGAATACATTGTTTCTATATGTGTATCAGATGATGGGGGATGTAGGCGGAGCCTCCGTACTGCTCTCTCCTCTTACCCGGTGATGTGAGGGGCGGGGCATTCTCCATCACCACGTCCTTGTAGAGATCCCGGTGTCCTTCTAGATACTCCCACTCCTCCATAGAGAGATAGACAGAGACATCCTGACACCTTATAGGAACCTGACACACACAATGTTGTTAACCATAGCAACCAAATTAATAAATAGCCAGATACAGAGCTAGTCCTTTCTTCCCAAGACTGTCCCTGCCCCCTTCCATCATATGGAGATGATCTGATCCTCTGTCATCTACAGTCCAGCAGAAGGAGGAGGTACCGCACCTCACCAACACTTCCGTTCCCATCTTCCTGCACCTCCATGCTGTGCTCTGCTCACCCCTCTGGTCTATAAATGGCGGCTCTGGATGGACAGTTGGATAAATGGCTCTATATTTAGGATGTATCCAGTCTATAAATGGCGGCTCTGGATGGACAGTTGGATAAATGGCTCTATATTTAGGATGTATCCGGTCTATAAATGGCGGCTCTGGATGGACAGTTGGATAAATGGCTCTATATTTAGGATGTATCCGGTCTATAAATGGCGGCTCTGGATGGACAGTTGGATAAATGGCTCTATATTTAGGATGTATCCGGTCTATAAATGGCGGCTCTGGATGGACAGATGGATAAATGGCTCTAGACTGAGGATGTATCCGGTCTATAAATGGCGGCTCTGGATGGACAGATGGATAAATGGCTCTATATTTAGGATGTATCCGGTCTATAAATGGCGGCTCTGGATGGACAGTTGGATAAATGGCTCTATATTTAGGATGTATCCGGTCTATAAATGGCGGCTCTAGATGGACAGTTGGATAAATGGTTCTATATTTAGGATGTATCCAGTCTATAAATGGCGGCTCTAGATGGACAGTTGGATAAATGGCTCTATATTTAGGATGTATCTGGTGTATAAATGGCGGCTCTGGGTGGACGGTTGGATAAATGCCGGAGATAAAAGAGGTCACAGTGACTATGGAGGACGGAGATGACGGGGGGAGGTGTTACTGGGTGTATATATAATATAATATCTTATTACCTCCTCTTCGCTGCCACTTCCAGCAATGTCTTCTCTCCACTTCCTCCCAAATCACCTCTCACCTCTTACTCGGAATTTCCTATTTATACTGCTACATCACTTCCTGTCTGCTCCTTACATCACTTCCTTTGAGTGCGTTCCACTCTGTGAGCGCCACCTGGTGTAGAATGTAGAATCTGCACCCAGCATTGATTTTTAGTATCTTCGGTGAGAGGAGATGGAGGAGAGGGGAGACCCTCATTGGTCCCTGTATGAGGTCCACCTCTCTATCTCTGGGTCGGTTCTTTGTTCTGAGCGATCTCAGGAGTCCCGCGTCGTTATGGAGGGTTTCTGGTTTGATACGTTGGAGATTTGGGGACCCGGCAGAAGTTGTGGTCCCTGGTGTGAGGAGGGAAGGTGGTGTCGAGGGTTTGACACTCTAAGTCAAGATGGTGCCAATTGCTGCAGAGTAGAGACAAGGCATGGCCGAGATGTCAGAGGACGGGTGAGGGTCAGGAAGAAATCGTCGGCAAATAAACTAATCCTACCGGAGGGATCATTCCGTATCAGCATTGGTAAGGGTTCGATAACTGAGATAAACAATATGGGAGAAAGGTGACAACCCTGTCTCGTACCCCGCGTCACATGGAAAAGCGTGCTGTCTGACCTCCGTCCTTCCCTTCAGTCTTCTATCTGA